GACCTGACATGATGACCTCAGGGGCATAAATAGGGGTCGCGGCCCACGGACACCATTTTCATGTTCAGTGTGTCTAAACCACTTGTAATTCAGTGTTTGGGAGCGTTTATAATGTCTTTCGTCCAAAAGAGGCGCATTTCAATTTTCTCCCATTGACTTATAATGGGGAGGTCGCAAAATTGACCTGACCTTAGGTCACCGATATCAAAATTCCGAGATATACATTTGATAGATACTGTTACCCTTATCAATCGCTGAAAGTTTCAAAGCGATCGGTCACTCGGTGTAGCTATGGCAGCCATTGAAACTTTTTTATGAGGTGAGGTCACTTCAAGTGACCTGGTGACCTGACCTTGAATGACCTTGGTCTGAAATTTTCACAACATGTGTAGAATTGACGTATGATAAGGTGTACCAAAAAACGGAGCGCCGCCGTTTTTGAGATATTCGCAAAAAACACAAGGGGGTGTTCAAACACCCCCCCCCCCCCAGCAGGGCGCGGGTTGAATCAAGGCAGGTTCTGAATAAAGATTGCTGTTGGGATGTATCGCAGGGGGTCCTGGCCATGTCAAGGTCAAGGCGACCTGTGACTACGTCGACACTGTTCCTCGTGCTTATGCACCCCCACCTCTGCGGCCTCCGTAACCCACTCGCCTTGGCTGGAGCAACCGATCGGTGCGGGCGCTGGCTGCATCCCGGCAGTTCATCCCGGTACGGCCTGTGTCCTTGCCGGCCGCGGCATCGTCGGCCGTCGCTGCCAGTAAAGGAGGCTGATGCGATCGTGAGGGAGCACCGCCAGTTCCTGTGGGTATCCCGGACTTGCCGCGTCGCCGCCGTCCCCAGTGGCCGCTGCTGCAGGCGACTTTGAAGGCCGCGCCTGGTGCCTTGGGTCACTGCTGCAGTAGCCTGGGGCTGGATGCCGTACTAACCACAGTATGTAGCTCCAGCCGAGTGCTGAATAATGCTAAGCCGAACTCTCGTCACTTGGGTATATGAAACGCCGTTTATAAAGTAGCATGATAATCGCTGACAATTAGGTACTGTATGCGAAATCATTCGTGGGCCCCTTCGGTTCGGTGAGATCTGCGGTGAATCGCAATGATCTTTTATCTTTTGTAAACGGTAAATCTTATGCTCAATTCGTTGGAAATATACCGTTCGTCTGCTCTTAACGTCAAATGAGAAATTTTAAAGTTTTTTCCCGATGCCACTGTTCGTTTATGATCTGGTGATGTGACAGCTCAAGTGATGTGTAGCTCGACTTTCCTATAGCAATATCGGCAAAAAGGAGTGACAATGCATCCAAAAAGTAGCGTTTCGCACCGATGATTTTACATGTTGGCGAAAAGCGAGCGGGACGTAAAACCCAAGCTCTCCTTCCGTCCCGGTGCGGTTAAATACGCGTATCTGGCTCCATACGTGAATCACACTCAGATCCGGCCGCTCCAGTCCCCATGTATAGCAAGGCCATGACTTGCCCCATCCAGCGGGTCGCTCGTGTCGCTTTCTCGCGAGGACGGCGACGACCAGTGACGTCGCGAAGTTCGGCGGGCACACCGCGGGGGGTAAACTGCTGGGTCACCACGCGGCCGCCAACAGACGGCGGCCAGCCAGCGGCGCGGGTGTGCGGAACCGGTCCCGATCGGGAGAGCGGCAAACACTCGCGCACACCCGCGTGCACGAGCAGACGCACAGCGGCGAGTGAGCGAAGTCGCGTGGTCTGAGAGAGGGTTGTCAAGAGTCGGTGACTGTCGGTGGTTGCGTATTTGTGCCACAAATGGACACATCAGTCGATTCGGATAAAAAGGTACGTACGTTATGCTGATTGCTGGTTGGAGCATAAAACGTGTGTTTCTTCCATCAGCTAGCTAGGCATATATAGTTTGCTAGGAAGCCTAAGTAATTTAAACGCATTTCATCTAGCGGCTAGTAATAGATAGGGAATTTATATCATGTGGTGGGCTGAATGCACCATGCTGACAATTTCCCCTAAGTGCACTTGTTCGCCACACTCCGCCACTGGATTCTTAACCCGCGCACCGACGGGGGGGGGGGCGGATATCCGCCCCCCCCTGAGGTTTTTCGCGGATAGCGGGAAAACCGCGGCGCGTAGCGCCGCGAAATTTGGTATGACTATTCTCTCATCAATTTTACACATGGTGTGCAAGTTTGAACCTCCTAACTTTTAAGGTCAGGTCACCAGGTCACTTTGAATGACCCAACCTCAAGTCACTTTTTTGCAACTTTGTCACCGTGCCAGAGCTACAGTAGATGTCGGAGGCCTTTGAAAGTCGCAGGATGTTATTAGGTCATTAGTAGCTACAATTTGTATATCTCGGAATTTTGATGTCGGTGACCTAAGGTCAGGTCAATTTCGCGACCTCCCCATTATAAGTCAATGGGGGAAAAATCAACTCCCTGTTTTTACCACTAAAACGGGTCGGAATGGCCCCATATACCATACATGACTTCACATACGATCAACCTTCACTACCTTGAGGTCTGTTTTGCTGTTGGGCAGCTGTAAGGTCATGTGACGTCATCAAAGGTCACCAAAGGTTTTTGGCCAATAACTCCTTACAGGAACAAGATACAGCCGCGCGGATGGTCTCATTGTGTTCAGCTCGTCAAGACGCATCGAATGATATACATGATGACCTCGAGGTCACGTGACCTGAGGTCAACCTTTGACCTTGACCTTTCGAGGTCAACATATATATCATTCGATGCGGATCGACGAGAGGATCACGATGATGCCCTTAGTTTGCTCCTATCTTGACTACTTCGAAAGTTATTCGAGAAAAACCCTCTCCATATCTAGCGCCGCCATTTTGACTTTTTCGACCCCTGTGACGTCATCTTTGACCTGACCTGAAAATGACCTTAGTAAAAATTGTAGACCTTGTCCGTGCGTATCCGATGCCGTTTACCGCTTGTCGCTATCTTGCTTCGTTCTCGAGATCTCAGGGGGGGGGCGGTCATCCGCCCCCCCCCGTCGGTACTAAGTTGGCGCAGACCCCCGTCGGTGCGCGGGTTAATGACAATTTTGATTGTCCGTTTTAAGGTAACAGACTTTTAAAATGAATTGAACATTGAAGGCATTTAGAAACTTAAAACTCTAGTGTTTGACCCAAAAAGTACTTTTCAAGTGAACCGTTTCATTGCGATCTGCAGGTGGTAGGTACCAAAATTGGGCTATTAACATGTTAGCTGACAATTATGAGATGTTTATCGGTCTGGTGAAAACGCAAATACCTATGCACAATCTCTCAGACTCTCACTAACATAACAGTAATGTTTCACACATCCTAGCAGCCGGTCGCCGGACATCCAAAGCTCGCGATAAGGAAATAGCGGTGCCGTCAACGTCAAACAATTTCGGCCGGCCATTCGGCGCGGAGACGGTGCGTTGTAGGTACTCCAGTCACGCAGTACCTATATAGGGCCTTGGTCATGGTCTCGGCATGGCGGGCGTCCGATGCAAACCCGCTGGCTAAAGCGGTCACAAATGGCGCGTAGCGTATTTATTGGTCAAGATTACGTTTTCGTTGGCAAAATATTTTATTTGTATTTCTTTTCACTTGTGTAGGTATTATTTTGCAGCCGACTATGCCTAATGTGATCAATATTTCTCGTTTTCCAGGAATCTTTGGAAGACAGTTCTTCATCTTCTTCGAACTCATGGCCAGTCAAGAATTCAAAGTAAGTCTATGAGTGTCTGTTGGCAGAGAGAGCCGGAGTATCGATCAAATTAAGCATCTGTATCAGACCCAGGAGTAAGCCGCGTGTAACTCGATAGCTTATAAGCATTACACGAATTAAACTAAACGAATTTGACAAGACACTACGAACTTCTCTTCGAGCCCAGCATGACTGGCATACGCCCCCAGTCGTGTTGGACATGGATTCGGTCCGGTACTGGGGTCGTGGATATGAACAGTGGAATTCATTGCATCTAAAACGGTCGCCCTCTATTTACGTAGCTGCTATAGCTAGAGCTTGCGGTATGGTACCAGCCTACCTACATCAACAGCAGTGCACAATGCACATTGAGCCCTTGAGAGGGTAAATCACTATGTAGAAGAGGGTAAACTTATATGCTTCCACGCGAAAATTTAACAGGTTGACGAACTACAGCACAATCCTTTACAAAGGCACACGAGTAATCGTGTCAAAAGGTAATAATCGTGTCCAGGACCCTTGAACGGTCGGTCCTGGGCATTGCCTGCGACTGAACGTGCACTGCTGGCTCTCCCATGGCTGTGACCATTTCCGCTAGCCACCGACCACCCTCTTCAAGAGCTATTCTCACATATATGACCAAAAGTGACTAAAGCGAAAAGCTAAAAAAATTAAACCTAAAAGCTAAAAACCTATTTAACGCCAAAGTTGTTTTTAACTTGAGCTGTGGGTCCTATAGACGTAGGTACGGGGTTCGATGTTTTACCTATCGTGTGGGTACTGTGAAGGGTCGGGAGAACAAACACCGGTGAGCGGCGCAGAAACGTCCAAGTAGGACCCGCAGAGGCACGCACAGAGGCCATGGGCAAACAGGCCGGCAGTGTTCGTGAACAAACATTTTAGCGCTCATGCTAACCTTTCTTTTCCGAGAGAAATTGTAAATAGACGGGGAAAGCAGCAGCACGCGCCGCCGACAGCGGGTGTTTTGTGAAGGGCAGACGGCGAGGCGGCGAGGCGACTCAATGCAAGCTTCCTCCAGCTATACAATTCGCACTTGAAAGTACTTTGTGCCCTCCAAGGCATCTCAGGGTCCCGTATACACAAACCAACCAACTGGGTTGATTATTCCCGTTCTATAATGCAGCATTATCTTCCAATTCACAAATCTATTATGCCGCAAGTCGCGGCTCCTTTCACGTATTTGGGACACATGTGGACCGGCCGCATGTTGAGCGTATCATTAATCAAAAACTGGCATAATCTTGAATCATATTGTTTCATGAATGCAACATAATAGCCGTATCAAATACACAGCCTTTGCTCTATAGCCTCTGTCTGCCACGTTGGTATTGTTCTACTTCTTTGTGGCGGACATCCGCACATGCACCCGGTGAAGGTCGGCGTGTCACCCACGCGACCGGCGACTGTTGTGCGGTGCGCGGTGACGTTACTTCCGGTGACGGTGCGGGGAAGGTGACGCGCTGCGCCGGTCGGTGACGGCGCCGCGCGTGCGTCGGCGTCGCTGGCGGACCGTTCGGTCCACTGTGATTCAGTCGGAGGACCCAGCGTCGCTCAGTCACCGGCCGACGACGGAGGTCTATCGGGAGCTGCCCGCCTTCGCTATACAGTGGTCTGCTGGAAACTGCCCATCTGCGCTTATACAGCTGCTCGCCTTCGCTCTACAGCGCGGCGGTCTACTGGAAACCGTGCCCATCGGCGCTTATACTCGGCGTCTGTGAAGAGCCGCACGTGGTCTGTCGGAAGCTGCCCAACGCAACTATGTACAGAGATCTTCGTCGCGCTTTGCCCGCCGGCAATACAGGGGTCTGTCGGTAGCTGCTCATCGGTATAAAAGCGGTCTGTCGGAAGCTGTTCAGCATGGCGGCCAGCGTGGCTCGGCTCGGCTGGAGAGGCGATACCAGGGGAAGGTGAGATCAGCAGCAACGCAGATCTACTGATGGAAGGTCGGGGATTCAGAAGGCTGACCCTGTAGAAGCCGAGATTTGTTCGCAGTTGCCGGTCAGCGCCGTAAGATGCACTTGCAACCATCATTTTCCTCCTTTCCGAGCAATTCAGTGGAAATGCAGATGGTAAGATAGGGACAGCGATACAGATTCACGTGAAAATGAATTTTATGATCAGCCACCGATCAGCAGCGGATAATTATTATTTTGTTGATGCTCATGAGCTAAGTTTAAGTCTTGGCTTAAGGGCTGATCTGTTTCAAGCTGTTCTAATATTTTCTTTTGATCACAGGGAAACTGAAACAATCCAAGTGCCTATTTTTTTTTTGTAGTACCTAAGTAGCTCATATCCGTAGGTATATTATCGAAAAATTAGTTCTTTAAATGTTTATTACTATGACGTTCTTGATTTTCTAACGCAGATATTTATAGTAAGAGGAATATTTTTCTGGTGCATTCCGTACAAAATATCCCAACGCAAAATATTGAATAGCAAAATCATAGAATGCATTATCTGTAGATACCTAGGTACCTACCTATCGTCAAAACATCGAAAGCAAAATAATGAAATGGTAAAATTTCGAAATCGCAAAATAACGAATTGCATAATATCGAAAGAGAAAACATCGAATCTTAAAATATCGTACTACCTACCTACCTACAAAATACCGAGAGACAAACTATCGAAAAGACAAATGTCGAAAGCCAATAGGTAGGTATATCGAAAGCTAAATATCGAAAAAGAAAATAACAGCAAACGACAAATATCGAAAAATAACATGTAACATACATTTAACCCGGCAGGCGGTGGGCCTACCAGCCACCTTCCGCGCGGTGGGGGGGGGGGCATTTTTTTGCCCCCCCCCCCCCCGTATCTCCGAAACTACTGGACGGATCCGCAAAATTCAAACGGCGTTCGATAGCCCTGTCAAATTTGTCGAAGGAAACCAAATTTCATTGACCTCGGGGTCACCGATGACGTCACAGGTCAGGTCAAAGATAAAATGTTTCACCGTTCACGGGGTTTCTAGGGAAAGCGCTATAACACCGAGTAAAACGCATTTTGTCGAAAATCAGCGATAAGGCGTCAGTTGTCTAGTACATATGTTGCTATTAGAGGTCACTGGTCATACCAGGTCAGGTCACAGCCCACAGGTCAGGTCACCAAAGGTTGTAGCCCCTGCATGTACCGCCGGTCACCGCTAGGCGCGTTTACTTCCGCCGGTCACCGCTAGATGCTGTGAACCGCGAGTTACAGTTTTGTTAATAGGTGTCGCTTTTACCAGTCTCTAAATTGCTAAAGCCGCCCTCGCTGACGTCACCCAGCTCGCTCATCCCGTCAAAGATGCAGCTCTGAGCCTCAGCACTGACGCCAGCAGCACGGCAGCCGGCGCCGTGCTCCACCAGCGAGTTGGTGGTTCTCTTCAGCCTCTCGCCTTCTTCTCGCGCAAGTTCACGCCCACCCAACGCCGCTACAGCACCTTTGGACGGGAACTGCTCGCCATGTACCTCGCCGTGCGACATTTCCTGCCCTTTCTGGAAGGACGCGACTTCGAGATCCTCACGGACCACAAGCCGCTCGTCTTTGCTCTCAAGGCCAACGGCAACGCCAACCATTCTCTCCGTGAACAACGTCACATGGACCTGATTCTGCAGCACACCAGCAAGATCGGACATGTTCCTGGACATCTCAACCCGGTAGCTGACGCCATCTCACGGATCAGCTCAGTGTCTGCGCCGGCTTCTGCCGCAGCTACACCTTCACCCGGCCTTCTGAGCTTGGCCGACATCGCCCTACACCAATCCAACGATCCTGACCTGCCGAAGCTGCAACAATCCTCATCTCTGATCATCCGTGACTTCCCAGTCCCTGATCATCCGCATCTACGTCTCTGGTGCGACACCTCAACGGCCACACCTAGACCTGTAGTCCCAGCCAGACTCCGCCCTTCCATCATCAAGAGCTTCCACGACTTGTCTCATCCTGGCATCAACGCTACGCGTCATCTCATCTCATCGAGGTTCATCTGGCCCCACATCAACGCGGACATCCGTGCCTTCGTCCGGAGCTGCCAGCACTGCCAGCGTGCCAAGATCCAGCGCCACACGAAGCCACCCATGGGCAGCTTCCAGCCACCTGACTCTCGCTTCCTACACATCCACATCGACCTTGTCGGACCACTTCCTCCGTCCCATGGCAACTCCTATCTCCTGACTGTCGTCGACCGCTTCACCCGATGGCCCGAGGCAATTCCTCTGCCCACCATGGACGCCGTCACGGTGGCTCGGCATCTCGTCAGCGGCTGGATCGCCCGCTTCGGAGTACCCGAACTCATCACCACCGACAGAGGATCCCAGTTCGAGTCCCGCCTCTGGACAGAAGTCTCCAAGCTTCTCGGCACCTCTCGGATCCGGACCTGCGCCTACCACCCAGAAGCAAACGGGATGGTAGAGCGCTTCCACCGCCAACTGAAGTCAGCTCTGCGGACCAATGACGACGCCGTCTCCTGGTCGGACCGACTTCCTCTGGTGCTACTCGGAGTGCGCACGGCCCTCAAGGAGGATCTCGGATGCACCGCTGCAGACCTAGTCTATGGTTGCAGTCTCCGACTTCCTGGTGACTTCCTCTCCCCCATGTCGTCGGACACTTCTTCTGATCCGGCTTCCCTAGCCTCTCGTCTCCGTGCCGCCATGTCGGAGCTCCGTCCAACTCCTCCTCGTCCTGGCTCCCGCCAAATCTTCATCTCTCAAGACATGCAAACCTGCTCCCACGTCTTCATCCGACGCGATTCGCATCGCTCTCCTTTCCAATACGTCTATGACGGTCCTTATCGTGTCCTATCCCGCGACCAGCACACCGTCACCATCGACCGTCTCGGGCGACGCGACACCGTCACCCTGGCTCGGTGTAAACCGGCCTTCACGGACAACATGCCTGCCGCAACGCCGCCTGCAGCACCGGACGTCCTGGTGAACGACACGCCTACTACAGCGACAGACAGCTCGGTGGACCGCCCGCCTGCTGCATCGCCTGCACCCAGCCGCTCAGGTGCCCCCGGCGGCTCTCGCCCGGCTCGCCGCGTGCCGCCGGACCCGTCGCCTGCTTCGCCACCCCCTCTCCGCCGTTCGTCGCGTACTCGCCGCCAAACTTCTTTTTATGGTGTTTAACTAGGGCGGGGGAGTGATGTAGCCCCTGCATGTACCGCCGGTCACCGCTAGGCGCGTTTACTTCCGCCGGTCACCGCTAGATGCTGTGAACCGCGAGTTACAGTTTTGTTAATAGGTGTCGCTTTTACCAGTCTCTAAATTGCTAAAGCCTTCGATTAAGTTGTGCGCCCCCCTTTTAACGTTCCGTTCGCTTAAACTGCTGTATTGTTTGGACAACTGCATTGGCTGTGTGTATATTAAAAACCGTATGTATTCGTTTATTACATTCGATGTTCTCGCCAACATGTGTGCAATACTAGATAACTAAGTTCGTATGTAAAATTATATATGTCTCGATTTTGTGGCGAAATACAAGAGATATCTGTAACATACAGTGTTTCTACTGGCTACACCAGCCAGAAGGTCACCAAGGGTCACCACATGAGCCCAATTTTACTAAGGTTATGCGATGCATGTTTTATGGCCAGTTTTAATTTCCAACTCAATGGTGTTGGTTATAAGACCATCAGGTACGGTTTAGGTCACTTTCTGGTGGAGGTCAGGTCAAAAAAGGTCAAAAAAGGTCAAATTTCAAAGTTGATATTTTTGCATAAAATGGGTACCTATCGATTCGATGCAGCTCGTCACGGGGAGTCTAATGGTGGTCTTTGTTTTGCGTTACGAGGTCTGAAATTGCTAAAAATTGAGTTTGAAAATTTGACGTCATCAATTTTGAACAGTTTTTTTGCTATAACTTGGCCAAAAAAAGAGGTATCGATCTCAAATTTGGTATGTAGATAGAAGGCGGTAGGGACTATCACATATATTCCGTTTTTTCGAAATTCAAAAAACTTTTTGGATTTTTTGGCTATTATATTCAATTTTTTTTTTATTTTTGGGGGTCAAAATAAAAAAATGAAAAACCGAAATAGCAGTTTTGTAGCCCTTTTGATTCCACACCTTTTATTTAAAAAAACATTTTTCTGTATCTCTAAAGCTGTAGGCCTGACAGCTCTTCCCGCGAAACCTTTTTTTGGGTCGAAAATGGCAAAAATGACGTCACTCTGACGTCATTAGCGGCCAACCTATCATAGCCTTTGGAAAAAAATTTGGTCACCATGTGCGCTAGCTGCTCCCGGGAGGGTCCTGAAAGTTTGGTGACGATCGGCGCAGCGGTTCTCGAGATATATCGAAAAAACTAAAGGGGAGGGGGCAAAAAAATGCCCCCCCACCGCCTGGAAGGTTAAGAAAATGGTGGCGAGTAGTGATGGCGTTTTTGTTGCATTTTTATCTTTCACCTACGTAAGGTGCATAATGCATATGCTCTTTGTTGCGTCTTGTATGTTTTCGCATAAGTAAATTATTAGGTACTGTTTCACTGGCCAATCAGGGAAGGCGGTCTTGGACACTGCAGGGGGAGCGGGCATCGCCCCAAAATTCTCCAAATTCCAAAAACTCATCGGATTTCGATTCCTTACGCACTGCCGGACGCCGGTCCCGTAGCCCAGTCGATAGAGCGCTGGACTCCTGGTGCAGCGTTCTCGGTTATAGCAGTCCGGGTTCGAAGCGCGACGGGCGCTTGACGTTTATGGGCCTCCGGCCTGACAGGTATGGTTGCGGTTGGTGGCAGGCCGTAGCCAGGCGAAGTCAGTGAGGGGACCGGCCGTGCGCACGTTAAACTTCTGCCAAATTGAATGAACTTTAAATTCTCCCAAGGAACCGGAATTGCGCGATCGGAGGGTAGAGGGCAGGGTCAACGCAACAAGCTTCGCTGAGCGGGGGCTCTGTCCTTGTGAAGCCTTCCATTCAAAAGGCCCGGATTAAATTTATAAAAAAAGAAATACTGCTGTGTAGTCTAACTCAAACTTTCCTTATAAAAGTTGCTTAGTTTTCCGTTTGACGTTTGTTCTGAAAAAACGCAAATTTTCGCCGATTTCGGGCGCTGCGGGGGGAGGGGGCTTTTGCACCAAATGCCCCCCCCCCCATGTATCCACCAGTGTATTGCTCGCATCCTCGGGCTTTAGATTGTCTGGCGGTGTGTTTAATTACGCCATCAATTACGCTAAGCGGAAATGAATAGCTTACCGAGCCAAAGCCTTTACCTACCTACATCCCTGGCTTTATCCTCGACCCTGCTGTGAGCCTATTGATAGTCGCTGGACCGCTGACCAGCTCAATATTACTCTGAATGAATAAGAACGGAATGCCAATCGTGTACGACAGTGCGACGTAGGTCATTTATGAAACAAGGAACCTCTTGGCATGCTCTTGGCCCTTTCCCTCGTCCAAGGGATTCGAAAAGCCGGCTTTCAATTTGTGTGCTCGCGAACCGTTTATTTTCGCAACACGATGGACTAATAACCACTTTTCTAATAGGAAGGTACACTTCACGTTTCATTTGTGGACTTATCTCTGCTTATTGATTTATTTTTGTGCATTGTTTTTTTTTCGAGTGGTGTTTCGGCGCTTTATCCGATTCCGGCAAACTCTATGTCACAAAAGTTTTAATAAAAAATATTGGTCTGAATCCGGCCTCATTTTTCAGAAAATTGTTCACCTAAAACTTCTCATAGTGGACTTATGGTCCCATCGCCTATTTAGCTCAGATATCGGCCAAAATCTGCCTCAGAATGGGATGGACGGCCTGACTGTTCGACAAGACCGGTGATGTCCAAGTTACGCGGAGTACGACGCTCAGTACAACGATCCCCTTTTAGACTGATTGACTTGACTGTGGGCAGTGCAGTGTTGAGCTCCATTGTTTTATCGAGCTCTACCAGCACGCACACAAACGCGCACGAAGTAAATCTGTTAAGCTGTTCAGACCAATGGCGCTTCATGTTTTCCTCGAACTGTTTTTCCACAGGACGGCGTCGTTCCGCGTGCTGTCTCTGGTGTACGCCAAACTGCTGGTGGTCGTGTGCATCGCCTTCCTCATCTCCGAGATCGTTACCACCAACGTCCCGCTTCACTATTACGAGGTGAGCAGCGATCGGCCCTTTGAAAACGTCGGTAGTTTGCTTATTCCAGTCGTTGGTATAAGCCATGTGCAGCAAGGTTTACCTCTACAGGCACGAGAGCTTTCAGCCACGGCATATACCAGCCAGGCGGTTATACAGACTCTTTCAGCAGTGGGTGGGTGTCGCTGAAACGGTCGTCGCCCTAAAACAAAAGACCTTGCGGCAAAGACGATGCTTCAAAAGACCGCCACTGAAGTCTTGTTTGTGCTGCATCATGTGCTCAAATCCTACACCATATGTCGGAGAGAGCAGCGAACCGTACTTGTCCCGTAACTAGCTCTAGCTCATGAATGACAATTGTGAAAGAAAACCCAACGTGGCATGGCGAAGACGTGCGTGCCCGGGGAAAGAGGCACAGGCGTCGTTGAAAAGCCACGACTGCTGTCACTGACCGCCTGGACGGACCGGCGGCGGTCCATGCTGACTCGGCGAGTTGTGGTGCGGGCCAACCGAGCGGTGAAAGGCTGGTCCAGACTGATGGATCGAGAAACGGCCAGCTGCAAACGGCGGCCCGCGGAACCCACAGATCCGGAGTGTAAACAGCTTTGTGTAGGAATCTAAGCTGTTGGCCAGTCAACCGCTAACTTGGCTACGCTCAGGTTTGACCTAAGAGTCGTCACGTGAAGGATTGGCGTCTACCTATTCTATTAGGACGATGTCAATGTGTTGTTTTGAAAGAGGACTGAAAAATATAATGCCTAAAATAGGGTCGGGATGTGAATGTGTAATGCGCGAATGGGAAAATTGCCTATCACATTTGTCGGACAACGCAGAAAGCCGACATTGAATTCAACTTGCCATGGACATGTTGTGGGCAGATATTCCTGACCAATATGAGGAACATCTGAGGCTTTCCCTCTGTTTCAAACATTAGACCGCGATGACCTTCGCATGACACTGCTGAACCACTTGTGTGGTTTCTACCCGTCCAATGTCCATGACACCAGTGTTGCCGGCCGCGCAGGGTTTCTTCGCGTACATGTACGGCGGCAGCATCCTGTTCCTCAGCTATGTGTTTGGCTACCTGCTGCAAGAGCCCTCCGGGAGGACCGGAGCCGCGGGCAGTAGGGACTGCAACACACACTTCTGGAACAAGGTGAGTGTTGACCTTAAGCCAGACCGCGGGCAATCGACTTCAACTAGTTGTATGTTATCGTAGCTGGACTGAAATGCTGCACATGCCGAGAAAGTTGAAATGATGGCTTACAATACGAGTGTGAAAGCATGCAACATACTTGGTTGTATCCATCACCAATCGCCTATACATATGTTGTCCCCAGTGGCGAAGCCGGGGCTCTCCGGTGGAAGTGAGCCTGAACAACATCAACGGCTCTCATGCGGAGACGCGCGGAGCCAGCGTTGCGCGTCTGCGAAAGGCCCGAACCAGCGACAACGACCACAGCCACGGTGGCTTCTTCTTGCGCGTGGGGGCCATCGGTGAGGCATTAGGGTAGTGCTGGGAACTCAATATTCGCACATATACCTACATACACCCACATCCACGTGGCAAGCAATGTATGCACAGACAATGCACATTGCACATAAGCTCATCAACGAACCAGTGAATAGGCAATGGCATGTTCCGTTGATATGATCTCTTGGCAATTTGCATGACTGCTATGATACAGATCTGTATCTTTTCTGTACATATACTGTGAAGTGTGATGTTGCTAAGTGCTAACTAACACCCGCCTGTCTGATAGCGTTTGGCCTTGGAGCTATGGTGTACAACGGCCTGGAGCTGGGATCCTATTTCGAGCTGCCGAATGACTCGGACTGTCGGAAGATCCTCCTGGCTGTGAACCCCTGCCTCCAGGCCACATTTACTTTCATGCAGATGTACTTCATCTTCGCCAACCCAAAGGTGAGTGGTAGACCAGTTTCTAGAAATTGGAAATGAACATTATGCCTTCAGGGCATTCGGTGCGTTACAGCAACGTCACTGCAGCAAACTTGTTTGGCACTCCTGCTTAAACGATATCACATATCAAAACGTCTTCATACTTCAAAGTGAAGTCAAGCTCGCCAGAGAAATCTACTGGCATCGTCCCACTTATTCGTTTCAGCTGAACATCCACAAGCTGAAGCTGGTCGCCCGGTTCGGTCTGATGCACGTGGTGGCGACAAATGTCTGCGTGTGGGTGCGCACCCTGGTCCGTGAAAGTCTGCGCATCTTTGTGGAGTACGCCGAGGAAGGCGAACGCCACGGGGACGAGGATCACTCCGGCGAACGCGAAGACCACGAGGCAATTGAAGATTTTTCATCATTCGGTAAGCGTGCTGAGAACATAGGCTTCAGAATGGCGATGTCAGAATGTAGGTAAAACTGTGCGCATATACTTTCATCAAAATCGTGATGGTCAAGTTTCGGACAATGCTTCATCTGATGTTTTTCATGATAGATTCAAAGTCCTTAAAGGGACTATCCCACCTTTAACATGGGGTTTGAGTTGAGATAGCCAAGTTTGCGGCGAGGTTCAGAAACCACTATCTATCTAGGTTGCAACCCCCGCGGCCTCTTGGTGTTGAAGAAATTCGTTCCCTTCATTTGAAAATAGGCCTTGTACAAGGCCCTATCTTCAACATGGAGCGACCGTTAGTGTGACGTCACCTCGTTTAGTCATTCTGATTTAAATGGGTTTGTTCGTTGAAAAATCGCTTAAAACCTGGTCTGAACTTTGTTGTGCTGCCTACAGAGTAAAAAGAATCAGCTTTATGACAGTAATGTGGCCTGGGAAAGGAGGTAATTTTGGGCTGTGACGTCACATATTTGAAAGTTTGTAATTAGAATATGGGAAGCCTAAGATGTTTAATGAAAAATAAATGCCAGAATGGTGTTCCTGGTCATCCAATCTATTAGGTCGGGCACAATTTAACTGGTTTTAACAACATTTTAGAAGGTGGGATAGTCCCTTTAACATCATCTGAAGTTCCAAAATGGCCGGTCGGTACTAACTACTAACCAACTAACCGTTCATTAGTCAGAACCTACGGGTTCCGTTTCACAGGAGTGGCGAGCGTGGCTGGCCGCCGCGGGAACCAGACGTGCGGCAGAGTAAACATCATGGGCTCGATCGTCAGCGACGCCTCGCCCTACCTGTTCCCGCTCATCATCGAGTACTCGCTGATCGGCGCCACGGTGCTGTTCGTCATGTGGAGGCATGTCGGCCGCTGTCCGCGCTACGTGTCCACGGACAGCGACGACCGGTCCAGTGCCGGCGAACGGCGACCGACGGCTGGAAAGGTGAGCCGCGAAACAGCCCTCAGACGGGAGCTCATTAGTGGTGCCGCGATGGTCTTTATGCATACGTTGTGAATCATTGCGGGAAGCTGGAGGTAAAATTATGTCTACAACAGCCTGTAAATACCTTCATAAATTTCTTCTCATAAGAACGTCTCGATAAGAAGGTAGGAAAAAGCGTAGATGGGACGACCGGTTCCCGATAAGAACATGGTATAAGAATGAGCGGCACCTGTGTGTTTCCTTGTTGAATCGTCCTGCGATGCTCTGCCCAGGTGGACTGTGTGGGCGTCTCGAAGGGTCTGTTCGCCGGCCTGCTGGTGGTCGCGGCCATCGTCATCAGCCTGGTGCTGTTCTTCGTGCTGGTGGGACGCGACGACCACCGGCGGCTGGCGATCCTTCTGGCCGACACCAGCCACGCAACCATCCTCGTGCTGATGGTGCTCGCCTGCCTGGCCGGATTCATCAAGTAGGTCTGCCGGGACTCGGTGCGACGACCTCGGTATCAGTCTTGGTTTCTCGAAATTATAACGGTGCCTAGTAGCGTCACGGGATGTAACACCGGTCTGTTGGTGACGCAAGCTGATCACAGTCTCACTCAGAAATCATCTGAATCAGACGGTGATCTGGGCCCGATCAATTCACATAGGTAGTACTTGTTTCGATCTCCCCACGCTGCTCCCCCAGCTGGAAGTGTGTGACGGTCGTGACATGCGTGACGGTCGCGTCACAGAAGAGCTGACACGTGTTTATTTGGACGCATGGCGCAGCTCTCCTGAGGCACCCCTGGATCAGACGTCGTGGGTGGTGGGCACGGGCGTCAATGGCCGCTGACAGCGGATTCATGCCGAGACGCGGGCAGAGCTGAACACAGAGCGCATGTTTGTTTAACCCTGCACAGTGTATACGGTCCGAGGAGGTCACGAGGTGCAGACGCTGACGTATGAAGGTCCTGCGGACGAAGTTCCCATTTTAGATCACTAAAATGCACCTTTCTTTCGCATTTTCTTCCTTCGATGACGCAATGCACACATAAATGTCATCGTTTTGTTTCCCAAAACAATAATGCCATAAGGGTTCACGGCCAAAGATGCTGAACTTCTGCCAACGTGTCCGTTTCAGATGTCGTCAGCTGAAGTTTGCCTACGACAAGCCGGACGACCTGGACACGATTCTGCTGCGTATCTCCGGCTTCGGCCTGTTCCTGTACTCGACCTTCTGCCTGATCGCCGCCGCCCTGTCGCCGCAGAAGAACGTCTCCAGCGTCCTGCTGCTCATCACCTCGCTGCTGGTTGTCATCCAGGTGAGGTTAGGGTACCAGAGGAAACCTGCCATCGATGACAAGATAGTGGTTGGCTGCGGTGAGCTGCAGCCAGTTTTGCTTAGACATCCGGTCCCACAAATAGGCTTTCAAGCTCAAACTGCTTGGTGCAGGTGCTTTTTTATTTCGTTTCTTGTATAGAGACCACTTTTTTGCTTACATCTGGCCTTGACGGCCCGAAACCGTCCGTGAGGCTCAACGTGACGGTTAAACACCTGCCGTGACGCTTTACGTGACGGTGCGACGCCATTCATGACGCTGTCCGAGACGATCCGACAATGACCGTGACTCAGTTGCGTCACGTCTCACGGTTCGCTGTCCCAGCCTGTCGACTGGAGCGGCTGCCAGGGCGGCGACTGACGGGAGGACATCTCGTTCACAGGTGCTGGCACAGCTGGTCTTCATCTCGGACGTCATGAAGCGTTCTGTGTACCTGCCCGAGCACGACCGGACCAAACCTGGCCGACAGCTGGTCACGTTTCTTCTGCTCTGCAATCTGGCACTCTGGGTTGTCTACACCATGGAAATCGACAAAGTGGACGCCAACCCTGTCCAGGTAACGGCACAAGTCACAACGAAATGTAACGTGAGCTTCTGAGGAGTTTTATGAATGTGTCTCAGTTGACTACGGCCGCTGGTCCGTTCGGCCACTTGCCACTGGTTTGTGCCACGGCACTAAGTGACCGATTGCTGGTCTGTATCGCCAACTGATTGTAGCCAATGGTCCGTGCCACCAAGTGGCTGTGGATTGTCCATGTCACCAACTGGTTGTTGCCAACGGTCTGCCACTAACGACAGTAGCCAGTGGCGTTTATCGCCAGTTGACTGGCCTGTTGTGTGTGTCGCTAACTGACTGTGACCTGTGGTCCGTCCCCAGCTGCATTTCTACGGGCCTCTGCCGTGGGCGGTGATCCTGCGCGCCACCCTGCCACTGGCCATCTTCCACCGCTTCCACTCCACTGTGGTGCTGGCGGAAGTGTGGAAGTCCAGCTACAGGCTCCAGTGACCCGCCTGCCTAACGCGCTCCCGCACTGCTGCTATCATCCGCGCGCATTATGTCTTTGTAGTGCTAACCCAACGTGCCACTCGCGCTGAATGTATTACGTGTCGTGATTCATGATCTGTATGTTGATCTGAACGGCATGGTCCGTGCCATGCGCCATAGGACCATCAAACGGGACAAGGTGGCGCATGGATAACGCATTTTACAGCGTTTTTATATTCTTCCTTTTACAAATTGTGACGCATTGCCGAAAGAAAAGTTGTTTAACCATGGCCATGGCCTGTCAATTGGTTTACTGTTTTTAGTTGCCAATATTACATGCGTAGTGTGCGGCGTGTGCGTGTGTTTAATTTGTGAATATCCTTTGAACTCTTTGTGGTACTCTTGTAAGTTTGATTCTACGCCACGACACTCGGCTTCTTGGGTACACATTGGGTCAGTTGAAGTAGCCGAAAACAAACACCTGACAATGATTATAAGAAACGCTAAAACAACAGTTAAGTTGCATTTAAGTCGAGTTTAAACTAAAGTGAAAGCATAGCATCTTTGCCCTTCTTCTCTTCAACTGTCTTGTAGATGCCGCACATCTCACCAGTTAAGCACAACAGGACAAATGTATGCACTATGCAGCCAATCCAATCGATCTTGCTAGGTGAATAGGACGCACAACACTTGTGCGAAGAGGCAGCATGGTTTGCTAAGTAGTGGACTGTAAACTGAAATGTTTTTGGTGTTATACAGAACGGAAAAGAAACGCAGGCTAATTCAGGTTCCTTATATCAGTCCACTCGACTCATCCTGCGACTTAGATTTCCAGAGAACGGCCAATAAATTCAAAGGACAAATTGCGTGAAGAGGAAGGTGGCTCACGTAATTGCTCCGAATCACCGGACAATGCCACTACATATATCGACCAAAAACCCGGATGCCATTCAAATGAATGCAAACCACCAGTCGACAATGTACGTGATTATTACCATCTTTAGACAGCACCGAGTCCAAGACGAGCTAAAGGTTTGAAAAAAAATGTCTTGGCACTAATATACGCAATTAGAGATTACTCATCCTGTTTCGGATCCATGCCTCCATGAAAGCAGCCAGATCACCTACGCAACGGAAAGATCGGCTCACCAATGCGATCTCAGCGCCCCCTTCTCCATCACCCATCCGTATTCAAAGTCATGCTGCCTAACAAAGCACCCTCTCCCCCCCCCCTCCCTGTTTCATCAGCCGATGCTTGATCGAATGTGCAACGGATTAGACAATAAACAAGTACGAAAATAGCCCTTCGGACTGTGTAAGCTGTGATCATTTATTGGAACCAGCAAACCGTGCCGGAAAATGACACGACATGATGGCGATGGACCTCACAAAATGAGTCTGGAGTGTGGTAGCGGGCGTACCCACTTGGGCAGTCGTTCCCGGCCATCTCCTCCTTCAGCCGGGCTGCGCTCATGACTGATGATGCACACGACGGCGGCACACAATGACACGATAACGGTGCGGGCGGGCGACCTCTACGTGGCGGCGCTGGCCGAGTCGCCGTCCACCTGCTGGATAAGGGTGATGTTGTCGCCCTTGAGCAGAATCCGACCTGAAAGGGAGGCATATGCGTTACAGCTTAGTTGAGTTCATTGCTTGGTAGCCATCCATTTTATGGTTGTCACGGACGAGTAACCTGGACACGTAAAAGCTGAAAAGCAACAACTGTGGGCTAATACATTGAATTATTAGACTGTGGCTCCATGGCACTGTCTCCATCCAGAGGCCAGCACACTGGTAGTTACATACCGATCTGCCTGCGGGTCTTGTGCTTCTCGTTGACTTCCTCGGACTCCTCGAGCACCAGATTCATGTACTCATCGAATCCGATAATGTGGCCCTCGATCCTCATGTTGACATTCTCGTACAGCCATACGGACACCCTGCTTCGGTTCTGAAGGTACCTAAAGATCAAGTTCTGCATCGAGTAGTTAAGGATTCATCTTGTACAAAATCACAAAGATATAAAAATCATGCTCATGCTAAAAAACAACAGACGATAAACACTTTGAACAACATACACTACATAGGGTATGCTAATTTTTATCCTGCAAAGGGCCTGTTTTTCTATTTTTGCGCAGCAGTAAAGATTCACCCTGTATCTCATTTGATGAATAGACATCGCCGGCGGAGAGCCAGGGCCCAGGGTTCCACTTCCTGCTCCAGCGATCTATAATATGACACTCCTGAAGGGGATGGTCTGTGGTTAGATGGAACAGCCAAAGTCAGTTAAATTAACTCAGCTGAGCGGGACCCACCGTTTTGGCTGCTCAACTTCGAAGTTTGATCCTAATAATATTGACCAGCCACAGTTGCACAATCGAATAGCAGAGGTGGGGTCAAAACAACAGGATGTTCTGAGTGTGGCATTTGCCTCCATCAATCTATCAATTCAGATATTGAAGCTAAGATTTGTAGAAAAAAAAATCAAAATAATTGCAGCAAATGTCTTTGACAGCTGAGCAGCATATCAATAGTTTCAACATTCTAAGTGCTATTAGTTTTGCTAAGAGCTTGCTCATTTGTTAAATAAAATAAATCTAAAACCTGCCCTAAAAGATTCAACCATGCTTCATGATATGCTGCTACAGCTACACTTAAGATTCAGGGAAACATATCTGACCAGGGACTTCCTGGTTGCTGTGCACAGCTTACCAACTCTGCTGTCCTAATGAAGTGAAGTTCACTATTCACACACTTAACACTATTCAAATGAGAAATTAGTCTGAAATGAGCAGGAAGGAACCAGCAATTTAAGGTACAGACAACAAAATGCACAATGTCTAATGAAATATCCAGTAAAGCATCCAATTCAACCAAATACTATTTAGCGCCTCCTACCCCAATGGAATTTCATAACTTAGATTATATATGCAGGTAGGTAGTCAGGCCAGTTTCACCAACAGCAAAATCACAGCCCATGCTTATGCTTTGCCTGAAGTCACATCCATGACAATATCTGTGCTAAGAACTTAAAGAATATTTAGCTGATCCCCTCATGGATCTTAAGGCCATGGAAGCACATAAAGCTCTTTATTAGGCCTTTCCAGCAGGGCAGCAGAGCCACAGCACCCAAAATAGGTGAATGACTAGGGTGACCCGCGTGCTCCGCAACGCGAAAAGGGGGTATTTACGATCGGCGGGTGTTTGGTGGTTCTTGTGTCGGTTGGGTTATCTATCCATTGTCGGTCGATTGCTTTTTGATGGCTAAACGATTTGGTTTGGAAAAAAATATCCATCGGATCGAGGTGCCCGTGTCTGATAAGCATGCTTTCTACTTCAGAACCTGTCAATAGTTCAGTGAACCTGTAAAATGTGTTTTATAAGTTTGGTGCATAGTTTTATGACAAATGGAAGCCGTAGATAATTTTCGCTAAAAATGGTTTGGCAGAGGTTTGAAACATTTATATTTTTTAAGAATACTGTTGTTTGTCATGCAAACGTGATAATTGGATCTTGGAGAGAATTAAATGCTCTTTCCAATGATAGTATTTTCAATTGTCAAACGTATTAGGTTAGGTTAAGCAGCAAAATCCGTGTAATTATTTATTGCCACATTATGGACAAATGCCATTTTCTTTAGCGATTTATTCCACCTTATTTTGATCAATTAGCTTTTCACAATTTTTCCATGAGGGACGGTACATTTTTATTGCTAATAGGCGCTGTTTCAACTCATTCCGTCTGACGATCACCTGAAATTAATATAAATTCCAAAATCCGTCCAAAACGTCCATTTTTCAAAAGAAAGTGTCCTCCCCGGTGCACGTGGCGCGTGCCAACCCCTGCACCGCACACCATTCGATAGCCCGTTCGATTCTCTACACGATGCTGTTTTCCCCGTACCGTTCGAGCCCACGGTTACCGAGATATTGCACCGGGACCGGACCCGTGTCGGGCAAATTTGGCTGTTTTCGCCCGTTTTTGCCAGCCGATTAATACATGTAAAGTCTATGACGCGAATTTGCACTTTTTGGGCACGCGCCACGCGCTCGCTATCGATCCGATCGAGCTGAGACCCATCAAAGGCACGTTGTCCATCCTTGTTCTATGAGTTGCGCAAACTTCAGCGCGGTAGGTGCAACGGTGTGACCTGTAACCCGCGCTACGTAGCACCATGTCGCGACCTTCGTAATAGACAGAAACTACGTCACCACAAATAGTAATATAGATGTGCCTCTTCCAACCTATAAAATAAAACAATAAAACTCAACAAACTTCACAAGGACATTAGTGTTCTACTGTACAGCAGGGCATAAAGAATCAAAATCTGAGGATGGTATGGAGCTTAAAGGGGACCCTACCAGTTACCACTTTAAAAAAAGCGAATGAATTGGCATACAGGTGATGTATCGTGGTTCAGAAAGAGAAAAAATGAATATCAACCAAATTTCAACAAAAAAATATTTACAGGTTTTTGAGATATTACATTTAATTTTGTATATTTATGGAGCCTCTGCTGTCCCTATGACATCATTTTTTAGCAATGATTTGGTATCTTTAAAGTGTGACAGATGTTGCACACAAAGCAGCATAAGCTACCTCATCTTTACCAGGGTTTATATTTTTTAAGTGATTTTTTAATCTTCTACGTTAAAGTATAATATCTAAAAATATCTAGATCTGTACTGAGGTCACAGTCAGAGGGGGGCATTCAAATGCATTTGCCCCTCTGGGCTCTGAATCAAGTGCTGCAACTTGGGAATTAAATATTTTGAGTTTGAGGCATTTCTCAATGTTGTGAGTGCCGAAACCAGTGATTGTTAGCCAGGGATCTCAATTTGGCTATCTAAACTAAAACCTTATGTTAAGGTGTGATGATCACTTTTAAAATAATAATGAAACGTAGGTACCCCCCCCCCCCCTCCCACAACACATCAAACCACTGTTCAGTCCTGTGCACATAAATTGAAATTGCGGAGTTAAGAAGGCACTCTTCGTCTAACACACTACCACAGGAAGCCACAGGAAGAGCATACCACACATTTTTATAGTTTCACAAAAAAACAATTAGCCAGACAACAGCGAATATGCCATAAAAGGATACAATCGGCTGAACCATAACCTTCTGAACCTTCTGACCTCTGTACGCCATCTTGAATTGAAAATACTACAATGAAAGTCAAACTAGACGAAAATGGCACTGGGCAACTGTGTAAAAATAAGCAATTGTTATATATGGATGCCCACTTGAAACTTTTACGATTATTGTTTTATGAATTCAACCGCTGACAACGTGTTGCTTCCCTCTCGCGCGCGGCCGGTACTTTTTCGACGAAATGCCGCGCCGTATACGCCACTTTAAACGTTCGCCAAGGTTATCTAGAAAAGAAACGCTAATAAACTGCAGTATTTAACCCGCGCACCGACGGGGGGGGGCGGATATCCGCCTCCCCTGAGGTTTTCGCGGATAGCAGGAAAACCGCGGCGCGTAGCGCCGCGAAATTTGGTACGACTATTCCCTCATCAATTTCACACATGGTGTGCGAGTTTGAATCTCCTAACTTTTAAGGTCAGGTCACCAGGTCACTTTGAATGACCCAACCTCAAGTCACATTTTTGCAACTTTGTCACCGTGCCAGAGCTACAGTAGATGTCGGAGGCCTTTGAAAGTCACAGGCTGTTATAAGGTCATTAGTAGCTACAATTTGTATATCTCGGAATTTTGATATCGGTGACCAAAGGTCAGGTCAATTTCGCGACCAATTTCGCGACAATCAACTCCCTGTTTTTACCACTAAAACGGGTCGGAATGGCCCCATATACCATACATGACTTCATATACGATCAACCTTCACTACCTTGAGGTCTGTTTTGCTGTTGGGCAGCTGTAAGGTCATGTGACGTCATCAAAGGTCACCAAAGGTTTTTGGCCAATAACTCCGTACAGGAACAAGATGCAGCCGCGCGGATGGTCTCATTGTGTTCAGCTCGTCAATACGCATCAAATGATATACATGATGACCTCGAGGTCACGTGACCTTAGGTCAACCTTTGACCTTGACCTTTCGAGGTCAACATATATATCATTCGATGCGGATTGACGAGGGGGTCACGATGATGCCCTTAGTTTGTTCCTACCTTGACTAATTCGAAAGTTATTCGAGAAAAACTCTCTCCATATCTAGCGCCGCCATTTTGACTTTTTCGACCCCTCTGACGTCATCTTTGCCCTGACCTGAAAATGACCTAGGTAAAAATTGTAGACCTTGTCCGTGCGTATCCGATGCCGTTTACCGCTTGTCGCTATCTTGCTTCGTTCTCGAGATCTCAGGGGGGGCGGTCATCCGCCCCCCCCCCCCCCGTCGGTGCGAAGTTGGCGCAGACCCTCGTCGGTGCGCGGGTTAATACTGCACTATTTTTTTTTCTAATTCTGCGGCACGTTTGAAGGAAGTTGTAACAATTAAGACTAATATTTGTTAATATATCACGTAATTTTCGTTATTTTACGGATGATTTAGGTAATCGTTCCTGATGAAAGCTGTCAAATGAATGGTGCGAGCCAGCCCGGTACGAGTCCATTGGATAGTTGGGCATCACAAGTTCCGAATGCACGAACAAACATGACGTAAATGATGAAGCTGTTTCAGAGCACAACAATTCATAATTCGGAAGAGCTTAGTATGTCTAGAGTACGAAGTCATTCATCCGAAGACACACCGCCACGAAGTGTCATAAGTTTTATCTTCCGCTATACGCTACCCGGTATCGGTAAGCCGTTTTATGATAAGTTATATGTAGACATTTTCATTGATACAAACACGCTTTTCTGCATTTATAGTGTGTTAAATGACATTTTTATAAACGCTCTATTGAATTTCAGAGAAAGTTTTCATTTATTGTTACATCCACTAGCATAGGTATATCCATCTGTCGGACTAGTTGGTAAATGGCGTAAGCATTGCCTGAAAGAGCCAGCGGCCAGTAGCGGTGAGGGGTCGGCTCACTCGCCTTCGTCGGCGTCTCGCGGACGGGAAAACCTGACGCCCCATGGACGGTCTCACAGAGACAACGAACGTGCGCGTCCCACGCCGCGCACTACCTCTCGATGCCGGGGACGGCAGCGGTCGTGGCGTGGCGTACTGAACGACAAACGTCCGAACGCTCCTCGATCTGTTGCTCTTGGGAGACGTGCTGAGCGCACTTTCGAACACGATGGGTGGCGGGAGATATCCTACGAAGGGTAAGCTACCGGGATCGAACACGCGAGGTCTCCGGGTAGTTGTCGTTTGTCGTGGCCGAACGGTTGACAGAATGATGTTGTCTCTCGGTACAGGTGGTGTTCTCTGCGCTGGCGTTGGTGGCGGCGTGGTCACCGGTGATTCTGTTGACCGTGATGTTGACGGCAATACTGGTGGTCGCTCTGTTGTTGACGATGTTGTTGGCGGCACAGTAGGTTGCGATGCTGTAAGTGAAGCTGTTGTTGGCTTCGGTGTCGACTGCGCTGGTGTCGGCCGCAGCGTTGACGTCAGCTGACTTTGCTGTGGTCGCTGTGTTGTGGGCGGCTTCTGGGTCGACGTGACCCCGGTGCTGGCAAGATCAGACGTCGCCTTGGTAACTTCAGGTGCTCCACTTGTTGATCGTTTTGTTTCTGTCTGGTTTGCTGAGGCAGGTGAACTGTCTCGTCTCGTGCCCCGTCCTGTCGCTGCACCAGTCGGTTGAAGCCGGGGCGTCACCGTCCTCAGCCTCCGTCTGCGGCGGCACTTGGGCCGCAGACAGCAGGCGGGGAAGCGCAGGGAGAAGTCGGGTCGGCAGCGCTCCGGGAGCGGTCTGTCCAGGAACGTATCGCACCTGTCGACACCACAAGAGCTCATTCGCATTGCGCAGTATTTGGGACAAATGAGATCTATGCAACCAGGCAAACGACCCTGAATGCAAATAACCTGTGCCGCTGAGGTTACACAGTTTAGTAGCATGCGGCTATGAACGGTGACACCCATCAATACCTATACATAATAAGATATTTAGAATGCATTTTTGTGGATAATAAAAGGCACTTTTTAAGGAAAGCTTCATTTAGGTACTAGTAAAGAAAGAAATAGGCAATATGAAGCGCTATACGATGCATAGACAAATTGCTATTTTAAAAGACTAACGATCGATCCGAGCGCTTGGACGATGCAGCGATTTGTGTATTTTGAACGACTACGATTTTTAGTAACGTTGTGTTGTGAGTGTGACTTGTGAACAATTTGTCGAAGCAACATAAAACGTTTCATATTGCATCACTCTTTCTTCACTGGTAAGTGAAGCGTCCGTTGAAAAGTGCCTTTTATTATCCACAGAAAATGCTTATTATATTTCGCTGGGGCATTTAAAATGTATTGATGATGGTCTGCTCCGTCAACTACTTGATTCTCATACAGCATATCTTACTCTTGGGGACTAGCTTGTTACCTACATCGAAATAGTGTATAGACCATGATACGTAGAAGTCATATTTTGCCTGTTCGTTATATGCATAAATACTTACGTGTTTATTGTTATTTGTAGCTTGCCGGTAGATGCATTTCTAATGCATTGATATTCTTTGCACTTGTCAGCAATATTTAAACTTTGGTTTACCAAAAGCAGAATGCCAACTGGCTGGTCCTTGAGCAAGAGATCTGGACAAGCTTCTGTGCTCTCTGAAATAAAAACAAATGAGTCGATGACTTATCTTTTATTTGGATTACAGTGAAACATCCCGACGTGTCTGGTGTTGCCTAAACCTAAAATCATTAATATTATTGTTTTCAATTTAGGAAGACAACTTTCGAATAGACGAATTGACGCAGCAAAAGCCGGTACCTAGCCTACTGAGCGGGGTTTATTGCGCCGACACCGTAACCTGCTACCATCTCACATTTGATTCCAAATTTCCTAATAGGATCGGGTATATTTATTATCAAAAATATAGCATGCGCACATAGCCAAACGGGCGCATCCTACTCTTCTAACGATAAAATAAACAAACTGAATTAAAAGCAATCAACCACCCTAAGGTTTGGTGGTCAGAGTCACACCAGCCACTTCTGTCAGTCTCCGGATGTATTCAGCTTACAACATTTTGCCATTTTGACAGACATTTTGATGAATATGTGTCAAAATGCGGTTTCATGTATATAGGCTACAAAAATTCTTACCCTGAGCTAGTAGCGGCAGTGGCAGCGGCACCAGCAGCACCACCAGTAGCGGGAGCAGCAGCAGCAGCAGCGGCCCGTCTCCCCGGCGCGAGTCCATTGGTTTCGTTCGGACAGCCGAAGCGCTCGGACTCTGTCGGACTGACGTGCACCGCGCTCTCAGGGTCACCGAAATGTCACTGAGATCCGCCGCCCCCTCCGCACCCACCCGAGGCGGCCCGAGGTAACGTCACTGTGTGACACAGCTGCGACCGAAATCGCAGACCGCACTCACTCAGCATAACTGGTTTCATAATGTTCTGCTAAACGACAAGGGTCATGGTCATCATTCAATAGTTTCAGCCAGGCTGTCGATTGGGTGCAAAATGCCTCAGGCTCAAGTCATCAAACAAAAAATTAAACAGTCATTCAGTGACGATCCGAAAATTTCAAGGAAATGTAATTTAGTCGTAACTGAACAGTAGCAGTGGCCATTGACGTGAATTTGCTCTCATTCTTGCACTAATGAGCTACGGATGCATATCATCTGAACAGTTGCGGGCCGCTTTTCTCGATCCCGGATGGATGATTCAAAATCGCTTTCAACATAGTGGCCCAGAGTTACACTAATGATGACCTTTTGACCTAAAACAATATTTCTAGACGACGAGCAAACTTGTTGCTTCAGGTCAGGTCAGTTCAGATTTTCGACAACAATGTTCACAACAAGTTTTTCCACGCAAACTCAGTGAGTGTTCTTTCAAAATTTGTTGCGCATATTCCGTGAATGAAAAATTGCCGGGTCATGTCAGGTCAGGCTGCCAGAGCAAGTTTGATAACTTCACACTTCAATCGATAGGTATAAGGTTATTGAAACAGCTGTCAAATCGCTACCAGCTTAACAGCGGAAAGGAATTTCTAAAGGAACTTCGCTATCGAAGGCAGAAGGCTGGAACTTGCCAGCCATCAATCATTTTAATGACCAATGCCGGTGCATTGGGGGGGGGGGGGGCTAATTTATATTGCCGCCCCTGTCGAGTTTTGAATGGGGGGGCTTTAGCCCCTGCCCCCCCCCCCCGGATCCGCCAGTGGTTGGAACTTTGTTATGTAAACACCCGGCTTGGTGAGACGGAGTGCTTGCGATTTGATAGCACTAGCACTGCGAAAATAACGTTACGTTGGAGTGCTTTACGATCAGCAATCCTTATAGAGTTTTCAGAATTCCGGATATTCACCCGTTCCGTCGTTTCCATCCTCCACTCTTTCCATCATCAAGACAGTCAAATCCTTTTCCTCCACGCCGCAACCTTTGGTCCGGGCAGGACAGGCAACAGTTTATCCCATGCGGGCGGCTCCCATTGGAGTGCACCGCAGCTCCTAAGGGAGCATACCCGTAGCCGGGTGCAGTGAGTGCTTGGGGGGCTGGTCGGCCTGTCATCTGGACGGACTCAGCCCCGGCGACTCACTAATGTTGCTGAGTGCCCAGACCAATGTCTCCCCCTAATTCCTATCATCGTCACGGCGCTGCAATGGTCTGAAATGAGTTTAAGGACCGAAAGGGCCTAGCCCAACAAAACAAACAAACCAGTTCCGGCTCTCCCCGTCACCCACCCAGCATAACTAATTCGTTGGCTAAAGGAGATATGCCTCTTTGCGACTCGAGTCCTAAAATTATTTGATCGTTTACTGATTTACTTGAAAGTCTACATAGTAGGTACATAGGCTAGATCGTGAGCTACGCACTGCTGTGCAAATAACACTGAACGGAGGGATATGATTGCAAACTGTCTATCACCGAAACAATTCGAACTGTACGTTAATATCCCCGGTTGCCGACATTAGGTACAGCGTTTGCCGTTCAGCGAAGGACGACGGTAGCGACTGCCGTGTCTTACTCGTAACTCACGTAACTTCCTGTTTCGTGACATAAGACCAAGCAGCTGTGGCTGACGCAATCGGCTCACGAGGGCACGGGCTCCTTGCCAGCAGCCGGCGGCGGTGACGGCTGGCCTGAGTGGCCCGAGATCAGACGGGGCCGCCCGGCCCGCGGGCCCCTGAGTGCCACCGCCGGCTGCTGGTGTTTCCAGCCGCGGCCGCCGCGCGGCGCCACTGTAGCGGCCGCCGGGGCCGGGGGCCGCCCTCTCCGCGCGGCGGCCGGTCTGGCAGAGGTCTCGCCACTGACCGCAGACGGGCCGAGCGCAGTCAGCAGTGGGTGCCGAGCGGGTCTGGGTCTCATCTGCCAGTGACCAGACGTGAAGCGAGGACTGTCGCCATGGCGTGCCCCATGGGCAACGGCGTCTGCAAGGCCGGCAAGGCAGCAGCCAGGTAGGTCTGCTCTTGGAGAGTGGGTGCAGTCGTGAACGAGTTGCGGGAAGTTCAGACTGTTTTTGAGCTCGTGGGACCACATGGGTAACAAACATAGTCTGGGCTCCGACACTTCCTGGACGGCTCGAGCTAATCGTCTCACCAGGACCGGCTGGCGGCTGCTGCAGTGCCTCTACAGACCAGCAACATGCCTCATCAGATCCGGCTATTGTCTCACTAAGACCTCACCAGACCGGCCGATAGTGCCTCAGCACACCGTCCATCATGTCTCACCGGAGGGTCATAGGTGTCTCACTAGGCCGGTTGATCCTGTCTCACCGAACTTTTGTCTCACCCTCAACAGACCGTCTGTTGTTGTCTCACTCTGCCGGATGTTTCACTTCTCATCAAACCGGCTTCTAGGATTTTCTGAGTGCCACACGTATTTGTGGCATTCGTGCGCCGAATCAAGAATCATCGTCCACAATGACATCATGTATCGGGCATTGTAAGATATTCATGCAAAAGCCGGTTCCTTATAGTGATGTTTCTTTGACACTTTTTCTTCCGCTCATTTGCTATCATGTCAACAGTCAATATATCAATATGATGTTTACCTGGCAGCCTAATGAAACCCGCGTCCATTTAATGAATGAAGAGGCACAGTTGCAAACATTTACGGGATTGGAAGGGGCGCTGCATCCTAGTGCTGTTAGGACTTCGATGGACTTAAAGTCCGTACGTCCTAAAACGCAAAGCTAATAATAGCATCATACCTTTCCATTCGTGACTGTCAATGCTACGCATTATCAATTCTGAGTCAGGCTAGCTCGGAAGTCAGCCTCTCAGGCATATCATCGATCCAGCCTGGTCTAAATTTATACGCGATGTGGGCAACAATTTGCATCACTTATACCGAACACGTAAATATGCCGATTCTGTGGCCGAATGTTTACCTTCTGCGTATCGTTTACTTTCCGGTGCCGCTAGTTTCATGGAACAATTTTATTATTCGCCGAGGGCTGCGCAGCGCATGGCTAAGCTGCTTTTGTAGATATAGTCCTCCTGCTCCGTCATACTTAACGTAGCATGCGGTAACATCACATTCCATATGCATAAGTTGACTGCTTTAGTATTTATCCTATAAGAGCGGATTACGCTACAGACCAAGGCTCTACACTCTACAGTCTACAGACGATCTAAGTTGGTCTTACCGTGGTCTTACCGAGGCTGCCGTTTATGGTTTACCGGCACCCTCGCAGGGTCGATATAGGGCCCCGAGTGACAGGTGCTACCGGCACTCCTCGGCACTCGGCAGGGTGGCGACATATCATCACCCTCCCCCCCCGCCCGTACGCCAGGTGCTACGTCTCGCACGTGTGTGCACGACATTGACACCGCCCTCCGTATGTGGCGTAGGTTGACAGCGTGCGCTGTACCGAATCTCAATCACCAGTCTCGGGTATACGGCCGATATGATGGGATGATGCGCATTAGTCCAGGCTGAATATAGGGTGCAGCTCTCTTGGGAATGCGCATTTTCTTTCTTATTTATTTGTGGTACTGACTAAATATTGTCAACATCCGTTATATGACCCAGATAGGGTCAACAAATGACCTATTTCACAACAGCACTGGAATGAGGAATCAGATAGAGCATCGTAATCGTAAGACGTAATCGCTGTTAAATGTCAGGGTGTGGTTTTTATTTGTTTGAAATTCGGCGTTTCTTATCTTCTACATGAGACGGAGAGTCAGAGTTACATAAACTTTTCATAAAGAAACGAAACATTGCCCCATGACACTTTCCAGAAATAGCGTCAGGATCATTATCTCGCGGAACAAAAGATAAGCTTCTTTGGGAAGGATTAATTCTCGGGAGTGCAGTGCACCTGCACAGTCGGGAAACTTGCAGCATGCTGCTGAACATGCGCTTGGCTCGTGGCTCGTGAGTAAGGACGGCCCACTCATAGTCGTTCGACACTGATATACCCATAAGAATGTGTCTTTTTGGATGGCTATTCCGGAAACGGGTTCTGTCCGCGTACTTATCGTTACCAGACAAAACTGTACCTAATTGCTTATGAAAATGGCAATCTTTTTATGGAATTGTATCTTTGATGAAAATTACGCTCTTTTATTTAAATTATATGACATAAGATTGTTATCTCATTTTATCTGACCTTCTGACCCTCATCCTGCCATGATATTAGGTACCAAAATATTCCTGAAATTGCTATAACCTGGATGACGGTTCGATAATTGAGAGGCTCCATTTAAATCCATGACAACTAAAATGACAACAATTTATAATGACTTGTACATGCCTACCCGAGTGTGAACCTTAATGGGGTAAAACTTGCTGTTTTACCTCATTATTGGGTAAAACTTGCTGTTTTACCCCATCAAAGCCATTGCTGCTGTTCTGATTTTCCAAAGCACACAGGCTCCCAGTTCCCTTCCAGCCAGCAAGACGCAAATTATGCCACCCATTCACACAGATCTGGCGCTGTGAATGCTGCTTGGAAAGTTGCAGTGCAGACACGATATTTTTGTTATGTTATGTGGATATCGGCTGACGGTGTTGAGGTGTCTGACGGTGTCGAGGTTCGTATGGTGATACCGATGCCTATACCCTCCCCTCACTCCCTCTCCCCTTCATCGTTGACGTCGGCGAGACAGGCGCGCGGGTGACGCACGGTCCCGACCGGAGACCGTCAGCACCAGCTGTCTCAACATGCACGAGCTGCCTCAGCGTGCCCCATCTGTCTCAGCGTGCACGAGCTGTCTCAGCGTGCACGAGCTGTCTCAGCGCTGCCGCTCGGCACAGACCAAATCCGAATCCGAAAAA